GAAATAGTTTAGGAATGTTTTATTCGTCTCCCTTTCTTTGGCTGAAAGCCTATATTTTAAAGTGTGTCTACGCTCTTTGCGTCTTATGCTTTTTGTTCTGTTTCCGCTGTTATTAAAGCCGGCTTTTTTAGAGTCAGAGAACATGTCATGTGACCGTTTCATTTATCGCGCATAATTACATCACATTCTAAAGTTCCCGTATTAACGTGTGCTCGTGGGTGTGAATAAATTAGTTCATCATGGCTGCGCATGTGTTTATTCTTCGTCTAAAAATAGAAAAGTGTACGTCAAGACCGGTTTTTACAGCGAGCCAGCCTCTCGTAGACACAATTGCACCACTGAATAGCTTCTTCGGCAACTTCTCAAACCTTCATCAACATTTCACAATTGCACCATGCCGAAGCACGAAAAGTCTATCCTCGATGTAGAAGCCGTGCGACCAAACCGTTTCTGGGAGACCAGATTTCATGATTAATGTTTACTCGAAGGCTACAGAAACTCCGCTAAAAGCAGACTCACCGAGACTGGGGACCATTTCATCGTCGCTAGGAGACCCTTCGAGTAAGCAATTCCTGCAACTGAATGGGGCACCTTACACAGCGAAATAGCTTCCAAGATACCGAACGATAATGCTGGAAAACACTGGATTTGGCTTCAAAAAATCAAAGAACATGACACTTGTGCATGTAGTTTGATGCAAGACCGCTACCACCTCTGAGTAAAAATGTCACAAACAGACCAAACCTCCATTTCAACGTAAGAAACGCTGCACATACTGCCGCCGGGCGATGATCGTTAGGCGTGAACGCGGAAGAATTTATCAGGGGTAAGTTTCTCTTCGGTCTCAACGAATCCTTCTGTCGCTTCCGAGAAGACATATTTCACAGACATGGCCAACGGAAACCGGATGATACCCCTTTCACCCCGGCTTTCGTGGTGAATCAAGTTATATCGTTTGAGGCGGCATAACATACAAACAAGCTTTTGGCTAATTCCACCACAGAAGAACAAGTTCACTCTCCCACTTCCACGACAGCGCACAAATAGGTCAAAAAACCTCCGGGCAGATCAAGACCTGGAACCTACCTAACAGATCTTGCTTTTTCTGTGGCACCAAGTGGCAACACTACCGTGACATATGCCTAGCTTGAGGCCAGACTTGTGGCTGTTGTCACAAAACTGATCACTTTGCAGGCGTCTGTCAACAGGTTGCCAAAGATAACCGAGCCTCCAAACTTGCCTCCCATAAACCTACCCCACCGGGTCCCAGACGGGAACACATGAGATTAGTGAAACAAGAAGAGCACTCCTACACCCTTCCTAAGGAAGGCATACAGTATGAGAACTCCTTCACCCTCTCAAGCGGGCAACTCACTAACACTGGCGTCACTACAATGGCCCCACCCTCTGACAAAGGCCATTTCATCTTGCTTCTTTTGGAGAAACCAGACTCAAACTGCAGAGCGCAAATTCCTTTCCAAATAGATTCGGCAGCCTCTTGAAACACACTTCTATCTTACCACCTCTCCAGCATGCCTTGGGCCAAGATTCTAACATCAAAAACTGTGATACCACTGTATGACAGTTCACCAACTAAGCAAGCAAAGCACTTGATGTGCTGACTCTACGTGCAGACTTCATAAGGAAATGTTCCACAAGTAACCCTTCTCAGCCACCAACGACTGAACCTGACAGTCATCAGGTATCAGCAGCTGGGCCCCCTCCATCACCCCCAGATACGTCAATGCGAGTCTGGCCTACACTAGGGACTTGAACTCTGGAATTCATTTCCAAGAACTGGACCTCACTCTTTCAAGGTCTGGGCTTCCGCAGCCCACCCGTCGATCTTGACCTGGATCCAGATGTCAAACCCATCCATGCCCTCAATCGCTGCTAGCCCATTTCAAAGCTGGATGCGATCAAAGCGGCCCTGGATGCGTATGAAACCACTGGCCAGCTGGTAAGGGTATCTCAACCGAAAGCGAGAACCAACCCCCACCAAACCGGGAAAATACGGAACTGCTTAGACCCTTCTCAGACCCTCAATAAAGCCATTCGATGTCCAAAGTATATCATCTCCACCTTGGAAGAAAACATCCACAAGCTGCATGGAAGGAATAGATGTCAAATAGGCAAAACATACCCTTGTTCTTGAGATCATCTCCGATGACCACAATGTTCACATCATGGGGTCACTACAGATGGACTAAGCAACCATTTGGCATATCCTCTGCATCCAAAGGATGGCAGCGCCAAATTCATATGGTGCTTGATGGCCTCCTAGGCTTTAGCATCGCCGAAGGCATCTTAATCCCTGGCTGCGGCGACAATGACGTCCAATGGACCACGACCGCATCCTTATCGCCGTGCTTGAGGGATTTGAACAATGTCATGTCAAGCTGAATGTCAACAAGGTGAAATTCCTTATTTGCAAAGCCACCTTCATGAGCCATGTTACCACTATGGATGGCCTCCAGCCCAACCCTGTCACAATTAAAGCTATAATCGCCATGCCCACTCCAAACGAAAGCCAAGCAGTGCACCAATTCTTAGGGGCTATTAATTACCTGGCAAAATTCTGCTCCCAACTTAGCAGCGTCACCCAACTTCAATGCAACCTCAGCAAAAAGGACATGCCGTCCCTATGGTCAACAAGGCACCAGCAAACCTTTGATTCAGCAAAAGTCCTAGCCACCTCTGCAGCATGCCTGGCATACTTTGATGTAACTTCAAGTGGACACCTCAGACTATGGCCAAGGAGCTGCCCTCTTACAACCCATCAAACCAGACAGTAGCAGCGCCCTTGACGAGTCTTCTCTACGATCAATTGCGTACAGCAAAAGGCCTAACCACTACCGAGAAGCGCTATGCACAAATCGAAAAGGAGTGCCTGGCCAATCCAACACAGAGTCTACACAGACCACCAACCACTTCAGTCGATCTTCAAGAAGGACCTCACCTTAGCGCCTAAATTTCTGCAGAGGATTTTGCTTCTCCTACAGCGTTACGACTTTACTGTTGTGTACAGAAAAGGTTCTCTCTTGCATTTAGCAGACACCGTATCCAGAGCCCCATGTCAAGACGAAGCCGTCAATCCATTCATGTCGGACACCTTCCATATGTTTCACGTTCATCTTGCTCGCTTGGACCCCACCTCAGCGGCCCTCATCGATATCACTCGCGAGCAACTACGCAATGCCACATCATCATGCACTTGCTGCAGCATTAACCCCTCAACGGTTCGCGAAGAACTCAGCATTGTAAATGCTATTCTTCTTAATTCTACTCGCGCCATCGTCCCTACCTCTCTCAGACCAAGTATGCTGAGCAAAGTGGCGGCCTGCTTTCCCAGTGTGGAAAGCAAGCTGCCACTGATCATACTATCCCCTCCTGTCCCTACACGACCTTGGTAGTTCATCTCGCAAGATCTATTTGAGTTCCAACAAAAGCAGTACCTAGTCACCGTAGACCATTACAGTGATTTCTATGAGTTGGAACAGCTGATAAACACTCAATCCACCACCATAGTCATGCTCACCAAAGCCCACTTTGCTTGCCACGGCATGCCAGTAAGTTGTTTAACAGACAATGACCCGAAAGCCAAAGAACCTCACAAGAGCACTCCATATCCTCAGTGCCTTCCTTTTGGAACATTTTTCTTCTTTTTCTTGTTATTATCTTGTTATTATTGAACAATGGGTCACATTAATTTTGTCTTGGACTTCGGAGACACTATTTGTTTGTATTTGCATATCTCTCTCTCTATATTTTTTTTTTTGACGAGGGGAGATGTCATGTCACCGTTACGTCACTCGCGCATGATTGCATCACATTCTAAAGTTCCCGTATCAACGCGTGCTCGGGGGTGTGAATAAACTAGTTCATAATGTCTGCCCACGTGTTTATTCATCGTCAATCTAGATAGTATACTGCTTAACAAGCACACCTATATTTTCCACCTATTTTATTTGCAAGTGTATAAATAAGCTCTTTAAAGTCAGAAATCTCATTCCTTTATTTGGCTATTTTGTCACTGTTATTTTTTATAATGTTCGCCGAGTGCTTTCCTTTGAGCGGTTGCCTATTCACATGTTTTTCTCGTGAGATGTCGTTTTCGTCTTCTTCACCAAGACTTTGTGTTAGGTATTCCGGTAGAGAATTGTCAAAGGCGGAAATTGGTGCAACTGTTTATAGTGGCTACAACAATATCGACGGTTTCGACTCTTTATGAGTCTCTTCAGCTGTTGTTTGAAGATGGTGTTGCAGTAACAAGGTCTTTCAGGGAAAGGTAGAGTGGTGTTCTCAGTTCCGTTCCCGAGTGGAAATTGCTTCTGTGCCCTTTTTATACGTAGATCGTTAGGCTTGAGGATCGAGTTTCCATTATTCCTATTGGTCCTTGATGTTGGTCAGGGAACCAATAAGGAGCAGGCCATCTTACACGATCCGAAGGTGAGAGTGAGTTTTTAGGAAGGCCTTTTCTGCTGCATAATTCGCTTGAAAAGCTACCAAGACTCATAATTGAAATTTGTTACGGTTTCCCGTAGTGTTTGTTTCCGTTCCTCCTAAAAAGGAGGGGCTTAAAATGTTGTTTTTAAGCTATAGTTTATGTATTGTGCATTTGTACATTAACTGATTATGCACTCCAGAGTGTTTGCACATCAAGGACGGGGTCTGTCTGGAAACTATCAACATGGGAATAAAGGTAAAGACAGACCGGCACGGATTCCCATCGCATTATCGCCTTCAAATTATGTTTTTGCTCTCATAAGCGTGTCTCGATACGTTTATTGCAAACCCTACGGCATCGCGCCAAATACCAACTTAATGAGATGACCGTAACCAAATGTTGACATAAACATTCAAAGTAATTATAGAGAAAGGTAGAAATATAGACTGCACCACTTTCCTACGTACTTTGTTTCGTTAAATGATCCAAATATGTCGTTTATCAAATGTTTTTGTTTACAGCATTGTCAGTGGATGGTGGCTGGAGTGAGTGGAACTCCTGGAGTATCTGTACCAAGACAGTTGGTGGTATACAAACAAGAAAGAGAGAATGCACCAACCCAGAACCAGGACGTTGTGGGAAACACTGCGATGGGACCGGAGCACTGTTGAGAGTATGTAGCAACATGTCCAGTTGCCAAGAAGGTAACATACAAATTGTAGCCTTTCTGATTTCAGTTGATGAAAACTTCTTTGTTGAAACAAAACTGAACAAATTCAGGAATAAAAGCTAGAATAACAACAAATGAATGGAACTGCTGAGTTTGAACTTTAATCACATAATCATCCAGGCGAAGTATGTGAAATGCACAATTTATCAAAAGTCAGGAGTTCATTATAAGTCAGTAATCCTTCATAAATGGACAAACTCTGTACATGTACGGAATTCACCATGCTTTCTTGAAAGAAATAAAACAAATCTCCACTATCATTAGCACTAAAATATAGGTACTAAAAGATTGCCCCAAGCTTTCCCTGATATTTGTGGTTGCTCTGTAAGAAGTCTGCTCTATCTGCGCAATGGCGATTACGAATTTCGTTGGACTGCCCGTAAGCAATACCTTTTTAGCTAATCCGGTAATGCTAACTATCATCTAATGATAAGAAACATGTTCAAAAATGCAAGGGCCTCAGTTACTATATAACGTTTTGGCATTGACCTGCTGGCAAAGAAAATCATGTTAGCTAAACAGGAAATTCTTCCACCATAAACTGAAAAGAAATCTTTCAACGATGCAAGGACTACTGTTACTAGGTAATTATATGGGGACATCATCAACACAATAATTTACCTATGCTGGAGTAGTTCATGTTGTTTATCGTTATCCTTATTTATCAATTTTTTTTTTGGATATTTGAAGAATTTCCCCTGCGTTTTGAAACAGAGAAGAACCCATCTGTCGGTACAATGGAGATATTCTCAAACAGCAGCTGGCAAAAGCTTTGTACCAGTCAATGGGATGAAGCAGATGAAAATTCAACCTGCATGGCCATGGGCTACTATAACAACGGTGCTAATGACACATGGTACGCAGAACGTGGCAATGCTACAGAGATGTCCACCCACTACAACTGCACCATTCCCACCAGATGTCAAAACGACTTGGAAAAGAAACAACAATTTTGCAAAGGTAATAATGAATTGCACTCATGTAATATCCACATGATCTCCAGAGATGGTAACTTGATAGATTTACTTACACTTCAGATATGAAAACTTTTCCGAGATCAATAATTGTTCATCTTCGGGTGTCTTTTACGTTCTAAAAAGGTGTCTATCGCTAAAAATCTTGCGGGTTTCTACTGTTTACACCCTAAGACGATTATAGTTGAATTACTGCCGAAAGAAGAACCTAGCTGCGCAGTTATGCATTTGGGTTTCATGAACTTCATAACCTCCAAACCCTTCACCAAGTCTCCTTAAAACTATTGCATCCTTCTAGTTTCCTTTTTCTCTCTCTTTCGTGCAACTAGGGAATTTCACGATTTTTCACTCTACTTATACTCAACTAAACGCCTTTTTCTTGATTATTCCGTGGGAAATGCTTTAAAATGACTTTCTAGTTTAAAATGTAAATCACCCTTTTGTGTTCTCCGAAAGCAAAACGTTTTCAGGAAAAGAAAACACGTCTTGAATGTTCCAAAATTATTGAAAAAACATCTACTTTTACAATTTAAAACGCAGTCACAAATCAATGCAAAAGAGGTTTGTCGTAAAACATTGCAGCAAGGAAACCACTTCGTGACAACGAACGATGCGGCCAACGTTCGAATACTGAATAATTTGCACCCAGAATTTCCCTTAAAACAAAACACTTAGACTGGCATGAACTATTTATCATTTCGTGATTTATAGGCATTCTTGATTCTTGATAATTAGTGTTTTCTATCTTAACGGATTGAACTTTTTGTAATTTCATAAGTTCCTGTTCGCTTGAATGGCGCAAATGTGGAGTATGGAGGAAGAGTGGAAGTGTTTTACAAGGGGAAATGGGCAAAGATATGTAGGAATAAATGGGACTTTGACGACGTCAAAGTTATTTGTCGTCAACTTGGCTTTGAAGAGGCTTTGGCGGAATTCATTGGGTCAGACATAAAGGCTGAGGGAATACCTTTTGCAATGTCCGATGTCTCTTGCACCGGAGAAGAGTTTGAACTTGCATCATGCGATCGCATTGATGGAAAGTTAAATATTCCACCTCAATGTCAATCGGATGACAAGGGTTCTCAAGCGTTGTGTCAACCAAGTAAGCAACTAAATTTTTAGTTATCTGATTAGTGATTCTGGTTTTCGTGAGCTGTCTTTCTTCTTCTTTGAAATATTGACAAAATTCGTTTTCTCCTCTACTATCATATTTTGTAGCCCAACATGTCCTAATAACTTTGGTGTAGTTTTTTTGTGAAAATGTATTTTAGTTTCGAGATATGATTTTTTTCGTTCGACCGCTCAAATAAGCAAATTTTCACCGTGAATATTACCCGAGTTGTGTGACCTCATATAACGAATTTACTTGACCTCCGATATTTCTGTCAACATAATCCTTTGTTTTATTATCTAAACTTAATCCCCTGTCATTATTGAAGCTAGCAAAGAAATACTTATTTTTTGGTGAATATTGTTGTCCGACATGCTTTTTCTATGTCGAAAAGTAGCACCACAAAGATTTTAACAATGACTACTATAACAGAATGGTTATAAAGTTGCTGTAAAAATGTCCTTGTGTATTTGCGTTGTTCTATCGTGAGGACGAACTCAAAGTCCGGCACTAAATTTAGTGTCTGTTTACATGGAGGTGGGGGGCCTCAGGTCGCCTGTCAATATAATTTCTTATTTTATTTTGATCACGTTTACATGATAGGTGGGATGACCCGCCTAGGCGGGTGGCCCGGTCTGCCAGGTAGGGTAACCCTGTCAGCCGGGGTGACAATTTGCCATGTAAATGTCTCAAGGTGGGGTAACCCGCTTAGCCGGGGTCGCGTTCATGGCAAAAAGCTCAAAAGCGATACATGTATGTTTTAAAACTTTGTACATATCCTAGCTGTCTCATGGCAGAAATCATCAGAAACCGCAACGGACACACGAGGAGTGTAAAATGTTCACTTTTCGGAATATTTAGCGTTGTAAATCGACCATATTTATGTATTAAGTCAACGGTTCCTCGCGAAACCAAACACAGCGTAACACAACGCGTGACGCTTTCATGAATAAATACATATGTGAGCGAGAATTAATCTTCTTCGAGATGTGAGCTTGCGACACCTCTGCTCAAACTCCTTAATTGCAAGCGCAACAACAACCTCAAGAAACCTCACCCCAGCACCCCGGGGTTGTAAGATTGCATGTAAACGCGTTTTATTTTTCGACCACGGCTAGGCGGGTTACCACACCTACCTGGGGTCCCCCACCTCCATGTAAACAGGCCCTTGCCTACTTGTCGCCACCGTTTACTGGCATAAATCACTACAATTTGTAGAAAAAAATCTAACATAACACTCTTACCTTATTTATTTATGATTTAATTAGCTCTTTCGATGATCAAGTTATGCCCTACCACATTTTAGCCAGATTATAAATCTTCGCCACGTTATTATATCAGTCGCATAACAAGCGTGACATATAAATTCAAGGATGAATCTAGCTCCCAATTACCAAGAGATAGGTTTTTCCCCTCTTTGCATATCTATAAAAACCTTCCAAGAATTACTGTATTCAGAAAACTAAAATGTCCAGATCCATCAATGGTTCCTTTGCCGGCGGAAGTCATAGAATGTTCACAAAAGTCAATTCGATTGACAAGGTACATACTGATGTAGCTAATTGTTCTGTTGTGTAAGCGTCTCATCTTACATGCTAACATGGAGATTTGCTGTTCATTTAAATCGTTCGCTGGTGGGACTTTTGGATATAGTTATCGAGAAGACCGACGTTGCATATCTCAGTTCGTTCCCTTGCATAGTTGTAAAAAAGACATTTCAAGTCACTTGCGGAGATCCAGAAACTGAAGTTGATCTTGTTTTGTCGCGAGCCGGCATCTTCGAGACGCCAAAAGACGGCCGTGGTAAAGGTAGAGTTAAGTCGATTCTAAAAGCTGATTGGGGAATTGACAAGCGTGTACCAGAGATAGTACGCAAGACGTCTGGAAAATTGATAATACCACCTTGTGCAAAATTACGCGTCCCGTCAGACTTAGGTCTCGATTGGGAATTGGTCAATACCCACCCTGTCAGCAACTAACAACCCGCTTTTAACTGCTACGCTGCTACTGAAACAACGATTAGTGGCCACAAAAGTGACATACTCAAATATTGTCAATTCAACATAAACAAAAATCTACATACAGGGTGAATATTCATTTGTGTTGGGATCAATTACTGCGTGACTAGCTTTTGATATAAATGGGGTAGGGGAAAACACAACTTAAAACCTGGGCTCCTGGCAAAAAGTAATACCCAAGCGTAATATAATAACCGAAACAGCTTATTGGTCTTATAACATTATAAATAAACAAGGTAAGAGTGTTATGTTAGATTTTTTACAAATTGTAGTGATTTATGCCAATATAAACGGTGGCGACAAGTAAGCACACCATGTATATTTCATAGTCGCTAGCAAGTAAATTTTGCCGGACTTTGTGTTCGTCTCACGATAGAACAACACAAATACACAAGGAAATGTTTACAGTAACTTTATAACCATCCTTTTGTCTTTTATAAGCTAGAAGCTCAGTAGATTCTGTCATATCGGTCACTGTTAAAACTGTCTTTGTTTTGGTGCTACTTTTCGACATAGAAAAAGTATGTCGGACAATAATATTCACCAAAAAATAAATATTTCTCTGCCAGCTTCAATAATGACAGGGGATTAAATTTAAATGATAAAACAAAGGATTATGTTGACAGAAATATCGGAGGTCAAGTAAATTCGTTACATGAGGTCACACAACTCGGGTAATATCCACGGTGAAAATTTGCATATTTGAGCGGTCGAACGAAAAAAAAAAAATTTCTCGAAAACTAAAATACATTTTCACAAAAAAACTACACCAAAATTATTAGGACATATTGGGCTACAAAATATGAAAGTAAAAGTGAAAGGAAATTTCGGGTGACTTGCCGTTGTTTGTCTAATGCATGTTGACATTAGGTCTCAAGAAACATACCCTCCTCATTGATGATTCAGCTTGGCATATCTTTCATGAATGTAATCTGACTGCTCATAAGATCACTTGACTTCAGTTAAGGGTAACCTAATTTCTTTTAACTAATTTCTTTTAATTTCTTTTTTTTTTTAATGCGATATAATTCTATCGAAAGGTTACATTACTTTAATAATGCCTGACACGACTTTCTTTGGAGTAATGTAACTTAGTTTTAAGTACGACAAAGTTAAAAAATTTCTCAAGTTAAGCTTTAGTGCAAATAAATATACTCAACTTTTTTATCTCCTCTTGTGGTGTTAATTACACAAAATGTGACTTATTTTGACAACATCTTCCAAACCGAACCATTTTTTTTTTGCAGAGAACAAGAATGTGTTGGAAAGAGTTGAACTCTATTTTGATATTGGTAGCGGAGAAAAGCTTCGCTGCTCTATACACAATAAAACCAATCATGCTAGATGGGTCATCAATGGGGGAAAGCTTGAAATAACAAACTCTACTTCTCAAAGGATCAGGGCTGGAGACAATGGTGATCTGTTCATCGATGATGTACAGCTGTCTGATGGAGGAACATATGAATGCCAGAGATTGGAATATGTTCAATATTACATTGTCTATATTAATGGTATGAAAACAAATCTTTTTAGGATGTAGAAATAGGCTTAACATGCATGACAATGTCATGTAAGACAAGTACACCTCTGACTTTTCAAAAGTGTAGCTATGATATTAGTACTTTTCATTACTCCTTTCAACAGCAAGATTTACTGAGAAGACGTTGGACCAACAAACCGTTATTGCGTACGAGTCTGGCATTATAAGCTGCAGTGCTGATGGAACACCAAGTCCACAGATTTCTTGGAGTAAAAAAGGAAGAAAGTCCTTAGACCCGAAGCGATTCACTCAAGTATCCAATGGCAGCTTGCGTATTGGTTTTGTAAAGCCTGAAGACGATGGAACATTCACTTGTACCATGAAACAAACTAAAGGAGCGAAGAGGGTCACAAGCAAAGATAAAGACATACGAGTGAGAGTTATAAGTGAGTGACCAATGAGATAATATATAGAAAGTCATAAACTCAGTTCTTCAAATGTGATTAATTTAATTTACTCAATTTCAAAACCTTTTCGCTGTTCATATTCGCAGCCATGTGAGGCGACATTTTATCGTTTATATGTTTGTTGATTACAGTTGTTTGAAAGTAGGGTATCATGTTAAAAGAAATTATACTTAGGTTATTTATCAACAATGTAGTTTCCTCGTCATAACTCAAAGTGAGTGCCCTTTGATGAAGTTTATAGTTTCTTTTCAAACTGGTAATGTGCTTAAATCGACTTCGGTTGGTCGTGGTGACAAATTCACTTTCTGAATGCAGTATAATCGTTTGTCTCGCCATGAAGACATTGGCTGGAATCCCACAAAGGCTTCGATTGGCACACTTTGACCAAATGTTCTTCCGGAGTCCACTGTCGCAAAGTTATCCTGTTTTTGTGGTTCTTGTGGTCAGCATCCATGTTTCTGGGATGTCTATCCCAATGTCCAATTTATGCTGTAACAGGCAAAGTCTTATGTGGATGGCCTCTTTTACCCTGCGTTTATAATAATAGGATCACTATCAATATACTCTACTTCAGTCCAGAGCAGGTGGTTTCCAGGTGTCTTCTGAAACTGCAGAGGCCTTTGTCTTAGCATGTCGTTTCTCGATCTGCCATATCCCTCGTTTAACCTTACTTCCATAGGTCTGCCTGTTATCTAAACTTTGCCGCACTCACATGGAATCTTGAAAACCACGGGCTCTTGTTTTAAAGATGCAGTGCCATGGATGGCGGGTGTGGTGTTACTATTTGTAACATCAGTGAAGTGAATGGAATGCTTTCGGTTCTTCAAATGCTGTAGGAAGCTATCAGCGTTTTCGCGAACCAAGATTGTGAATGTGTCATATACATAGCGTTTCCAGATCCTTCGCTGGTAAGATGATAAGGTTATCGATTGCTCCTATAACTCTATATGTGGAGATTAGCAATAACGGCGGAGACCAGACTCCCCATGGCTGCGCCTTCTGTCTTACGTAAACTGGTGGTCCGAGATAATAGGAGTACGTAGACCTCAATACGAAGTTCGAAAGGTTCGCGATCTGACAAACGATTATACTTCATATTAAGCGCTACTGTCATCGTCAAATGTTCATTTAGTTACGGCGTCTAATGCGTTCAATGTAAATGATAAAGGAATACCTCCAATTTTCCTGTAATATGTTATTTATTTACCTTTTAGTTCGACCAGATGTTTATATTTCTGGAGCAAGCAATCTCATCATAGAAGGAAGCAGTGTAAACTTGACGTGTGAAGTTGTGGCAGGTCGGCCTGAACCACGGATCACCTGGCTCAAGAATATTACATTGCAAAGAGAGAGTTCGTCTCTCTTCTTTTCTGAGATAACAAAGGAGGACGAAGGGCGGTACACTTGTAAGGCAGAGAATGAAGCAGGCATTTCTACCAAAGACATTAAAATTTCTGTAAAGGGTGTGTTTGTAAAGCTCAACTGTATTATAAATCAATCATGCATTTGATATGCCTACGGAAAGCGAATCAATAGCCAGTGGGCCTGACTCTAGATCAAGGTTTCTGGGTCTGAGCTAAGGGTAAGGTAATTGTAGAAAACTATCAGAAAAATTTTAAAAATGCAAGGGCTTTCAGCTATTATCTGCGACTGATTCACCGGTGAGGACCAGGTCCTAGATGAATAATTTTTTCAGAACGCTTCATTAGTTATTTATTGCGAAGAACTGGAAAGTCTTTACAATTGTTCCTTTGTTCCCGCTATAACAATTTGATGATATCATGGCTAAGTTAGTAAAATAGCCTGACCGACATGGTTTTGGAAGGATTTGTTTGATATGGTAAAAAAGTGGCTCATTGTCTTCTTCTCCTTCTTTTTTATTGTTATTTACTATTGTTTTTTTTTTCTTTTTGCGGGTGGGGGAGGGGGGGGGGAGGTTGGGTAGCTTCTTATTTTGTAATTTGTGTTTACCTGCTTACTTTGCAGTTCCACCCCATGTTCGTAGTGAGTCTAGAAATCTCACCATTGCGTTTGACTACCCATTTATTAGAGAGTGTTATTTCAGAGGTGACCCACAAGTATCTGTCAACTGGACCAAGGATGGAGTGCTAATTAGTAAAAACAACACCTTGGTTATAAGAAAAGCGACGTTTAAAGATAAAGGCTATTATGAATGTACTGCTAAAAATGATTATGGCGAAGCAAAATCTTCCTTCTGGATCGATGTCACAGGTAAACCCAAAATTGTAGTTTATGTCATTTATCAAACTTGTAACTCAACAGAGCGTTTGTTTTAAAGTTTAAGCCAAATTTAAAAACACCAATTTTTTCCTCTTTTCACCCATTTCCTGGTCACTTAGAGTTGATTCTGACTTACAGACACCCAGATTGTAAATGAAGATAAATCCGTAACCAAAGAAATAATTAAAAACACCTCCCGCTATTAAGGAATTCCAAATCCTGTGGTCCACTCTAACATTTTTATCCGTGGACGCATGTTAAAATACTCAATTTGGAGACGTCAAATGACAGATATCTTTTTTTTTTATCACAGAATGCCAATGTTTTACCTTGTTTTGATCATCATTACCTAAAATCTTTTTCAAATTCGATATGTACTGCTAAAAAATAAAACTGAAAGTCATTAAACATATATGTTTTTAACATCACACTCAACAACCAGAAAGAAAAAAGTGAAGGTTATTGGCACAACTGGGACAACTTAAGGCTAAACAATATCTTTTTATGCTGAAGGCGAAGAAAACCTTTGAAAATATATTTCCAAATAGATTAAAACTATTTTTCAGTTAAAGACGAAACAAATATGGGTCACCTGACCCATCTACATGAAAATACTCAATACTCAATTTGGAGACGTCAAATGACAGATTTCCTTTTTTTTATCACAGAATGCAAATGTTTTACCTTGTTTTGATCATCATTACCTAAAAACTTTTTCAAATTCAATATATACTGCTAAAAAAATAAAGCTGATAGTCATTAAACATATAGGTTTTTAACATCACACTCAACAACCAGAAAGATCAAAGTGCTCTGTGAGCAAACTCGGGAATTGACACATGATTTTTTGGATTATGTTATCTGGTTTAGGGAATTTTGTGGTTGATTGTCATATCTAGAGTACGAGCAGTAGTTCAGTGTTCGCTAATGTAGCAAAGAAACAAAGTAACGTTGGGATAAGAAGGCATTACAGTTGAAATGATCATGCTATTACATTTGACAAGGGTGGATGATGTCATGTGTTTTAAACGTATATCATTTTTTTTCTGGTTCAAAAGAAAAGGTTGGAAGTAAATGTGGGTGAAAAGTGAAATTTACTGTCTATCATTGTAAATATTAGAAAATCAAGGCAATACTGTCTTAATGAAAACATTAACGATTCCCTCTTTATCAAATGAGACAAACGGGAACGAGTTTTTGAGTGACAGTCTTGGCTTAGTTTGATATAACTAAGCCAAGACTGTCACCGTCATTTTGGATCTCCGCCTGGGTAGATTTTAGTCACGTGCTAGGCAACGTATAATCAATAACAAGATAGAATTTCATTTCAGGCCTGTTTATCAATTTTGTGGTGTATAACTTTCGCATTTTAGTACGTAAAATGTATTTTGAATCTTCAAATTGTCTTGAAACTTAAAAGAAAATTGTTCTTTAAAAATTCACTGAAAATCGGTAGCTAAAATTGTTTGTTTAGGTGTTATTTGATTTTCGTGTTAACTTGTAATTTCGTCAGTCGCCGGCACCTTTTGTTGCTTCACACAGGAAAAACACACGATAAGAAACGTAATGATCAATTTTGTCCTCAACTCACGCCATAACAGAAAAAGCTTTTGAACATCTGTAAACTCCGAGCGCTTCGCAGTAAGTGATATTTTCAATGAATCTTCGGATTGTTTTCAAGTTCAAGGATTATAAATTACAATTTTATGAAAAACGAAGGTTGTCTGTTATTTCAGTGTGAATCCTTGCATGCCTGCCAGTCGCTGGCGCCGCTTGTTGAAACTAAAACGAAAAAAAAAACTCCTTTAAGATTATCATTGGCTTCTTTTTCACCCCACCACTATTCTTAGCAACAAAGGTCGCCATTCCGTTTGTTTATTGCTCGCCAAAAACTATCAAATGCACTCAAAAGCCTAAAATCGAAAAAAAGTTTACAGGAATCGACCAATCGAGCGAGCGAGCGAGTGCCATTCTCCACATCGTATCTACAACTCGCTCTTGCGCATACGCGCAATTCACGAGTTAAAAAAAATGAAGGTTATTGGCACAACTGGGACAACTTAAGGCAAAACAATATCTTTTTATTCTGAACGCGAAGAAAACCTTTGGAAAAAAATTGACCTTGGTTAAAAATAGACTTGAACATCGCGTTTCTTGTTTTGATTTTGTTGTTGTTGTTGTTTCGTCGTTTTATCAAAGGTTAGATAAATGGGGTTAAAGTGGATTATACAAACCTTATTAATTTTGGATTTTTTTTTTATTGAAGTATTTCCACAGATTATAAAGCCTCCGATAAACCAGTCTGTTACTGAGGGAAACTCTGTGAACTTTAGTTGCCGAGCCACAGGTGTGCCAACACCAACATTAGTCTGGGTTTTTAATAATGGTGACCTGCCATCTGGTATCAATCAATTCAATCACAAAGGAGAATCATTCCTGGAATTTTTAAGCGTCACAAAAGGGATGGAAGGGACTTACAAGTGTGAAGCGAAAAATAAAGCAAATACAACTAGTTCCTCTGCAACACTGCGTGTATACGGTAAGTTTAATGATAATGACGATAATGATGACGATAACGATAACGATGACGCTGACTTTGACGATGACGCCGACGATATCCATGGCGATGAAGATGATGTGACGCCAACGCTGAACTGATGCTGACGATGAGGGTGACAAATGTGGACCAGGATTTTAATCAGTTGCCTTTTTCTTAACGCAGGAAAAGCCTCTGTTCAAGTTTTTCCAGATCAGTATCCAGCAATCACAGCAGGAGACAACCTCACGTTGACCTGCAACGTCAACGAAGAAACAATAAATGTAACTTGGAAAAAAGATGGAGACTCACCACCTGAAAGAGCAAAGATTGATACACGATTCGATGACAAAAAGAGTACATTTGCTGTAACTGAAGTTGTGAAGGAGGACAGTGGTGTGTATTCTTGCGAGGGACGTAACAAGCTCGGTTTTGTTGACCGTTCCTTTGTAAAAATAAACATCAAAGGTAAGCTGGTGTTACTGTTGTGTCCTTAAAAGGCATAAAACTTTACTAATTGAAAAATATATTTCCAAACAGATTAAAACTATTTTTCAGTTAAAGACGAAACAAATGTGGGTCACCTGGCCCATTTGCATGAAATTACCTTGCATCGCTCTGTGAATTTCAGTTATTTTGCTTCTAAGAGCAGGTGTCAATCAAGGGTTAAAGAATGTGCTAAGCTATTTCAAAGCTATTCCAAACAACTCGAATTTTATCAGTACTTTTACTACCGTCGAGATTTGTCTAATGGCCATATATTTATCTTACACAATTAGCGAAGCAAGTGCCACGAGCTATGCAAAGTTTCAACACTTTGTGGTTTTACATTGGTGGATCAGTGGCGGCAGCGATTGTCATTTTGCTAATTGCCTGGTATTTCTGCAAGCTTCGAAGGGCAGGTGACGTCCATTTTTCTGTGTTATTTCAGATTTCTTTTTCTGAAAGTAAAAGAAGGAAATGTTTAAACTTATTTAACATGTCTGCTGGGGGGGGGATGAGGAACCCTGAGCTTAGAGTCTAAGAGTAGAGATATTTTTATAAGAATTATTCGTGTCCGGCCAAAAAATGCTAAATTGTAGAGTTTTTTTCACATCTGTATATGTTTTGATAACAATTACAAATTCAGAAAATATCACGTCACCCTTCATTTGCGCAAATTCAAATTATACTGCCATTACACAGAAATTTTATTAGAATTTTATGTCAGTGTTTTGGGGTACGAAAGAGCTATCATAGCAGGTCATATTGTGCATTTCCAGCACTGATTTTGAAGGTCCTTCTTTAGTCCCGGAAAGTCCATTAACCAATCAAATTACAAAAAGGTTAAAAATTATATCCAGCTGATCACCATGACAACCAGCCATATTCCTTCTCTCGTTGTTGACAACAGAGTCAAATATATGATACACGTGGTTTCTGAGTCGCAAGCTTTCACTAAGTTAATGATGTCGTTCTTACTTACAACGAAGCTATTTCTTCGATCTTTTTCCACATATCCTTTGATAATAGCCCCACCTGAGGTGCCACCTAGGTTGAAGTAAGTAAATTCTCTCTTTTTGTGAATGCTCGCTGTTTCAACGTGTCGCTATATCCGAAGTTTCTAACTGTTGAATAGTCTCAGTAGAATAGTGATAAGCGCCATTGCTGAGCAAATACGTCTTTTCTCCAGTTTGGACCAATCATATTCACCATCAAGAGCTCACAGGCCAAAAAGGGGTTTTTTCTTTCGAAGCAGCGGCATTCTTCGAAGCCGTTCTTATGGCAGTCAAATGTTTCCTGATGTTCTTTCTGTTTTGGTTTCATCCGTCTTTTACTTGTCTTGACACCTTGTTTAATATATATATATATATATATATTTTTTTTTTTACCAGCATGCTGGGTTGTGGGTGGCATACTTATAAGAAAAAGAGGCGCTTTGACCCCTCGTCACTCTCTGTTCCAGAAACTGCAGTTGAAATACACTCGGAGTCTTGTAGGCCGATTTAAAATTCCACTCGATATATCGACTGTAGACAATACTTCGGATGGTTTCGGTTAGTATTTCATTTCTCGCGTGGGAGAAACGATATTTATATGAGGTAAAATGCCGAAAAACGCAGTCGGCGCAAGGTTATCTTCATGCGAGGTTAAATCAATCCTCTTTTTTTTTTTTCAATAAAATCTCCTCTTCTGGGGCGATGCGTCAACAAACGGGTTCAGCAGATTAGTATCCAAATTTCACCTATCTCAGTAATTTTTTCATTGGCAAGTAATAATTTTCTGACGTACTCTGAAAAAAAAATTATCTTTAAATGAAAAAAAAGAGAAAAAACTCTTAAAGTGAAGATATAGAGAATATATTTACCACGTTACGTTTAAACAGATTCACAGAAAGAAAAGATAGATAGGTAACAAAGATAGTTAAAGTCTTGTTTTCATCTGCAATTATTCAGTGAAGGGGAAGATGAAGTTGAGATGGATCAGCTGAACTTAAACACAGATGGATGGGAGATTGCAGCTGACCGCCTGAACCTTCGCGAGCATATTGGCAGAGGGGCATTTGGTTCAGTGTGGCGAGCGCTACTGGGTCGTTCCCGTGGCAGACCTGGAAATCGTACAGTTGCTGCCAAGTGCTACTTACGTAAGTACTTTTTTTTTGTCTTTCTTTCATACAAAGCTTGATCAAACTATCCTTTATTGATTTTTTGTGTTTCATCTTAATAGAGAGCATTTTTCTTAAAACACGCTTTATTAAACTATTTGATACATAACAATTATAGCTTATAGATATACGCTGTTAAAATGAATTATCAGCTGGCATGTCAAATAGTTAGCAGATGGTTCTCCGAGGGACCAGTCGTTAAGTCTTTTGTCATACAACGCCACAAACATTCAACAGAACACGAATATCATTTGGAGTACTAGAAGCTGTGGAGGCAAACGCAAATTTATTGATCAAATTGCATTCAAGGGTATAAAAGCGGAAAATACTACAATATTAAAAATTTCGGTCCACTTTCGCGCCACCTCCAATCACCCGCTGTTCACCTGTAACCTGATGTCGCATATTTTGCAAAGTTGCCCGCTTAGAAACTTTTGATGTGAAATCATGACTAGTGACCTCAGAGAAACCTAGAGAGGGTGAGCCTTAAGCGAAAAAATTGGAGCCATATGCCCATCTGGTGGTGGTAGTATGATCTTCTTCTGTTGGAAAAAGCTGGAAATCATAATGCAGTCGAACCTGCATCAAGCGGCACCGTATTAAGCGGTTACCCTGTGATAAGGGGTCGGTTTTCAATGCCCCAAAATTTTCTTCACTACTCGTAGTACTTTTTATACCAAGCGATTTTGGTCACCCATTACTATGTCCCAACAGCCTATTTGTAATGTTCCCTACCTGCACTGAACGGTCAATAAAGCGGAAGTACTCAAATAAAATTAAGAATAATTTTTCAAGTAAAATTTAATCCAAGCTAATCTCCCGAAATCAATGTTAGAAGTATTTTGGAGCGAGGTCATGTATGTTAAGTGGTCCGTGATGGCATAGAATGGCGATTTTTAATTTTAACAATAATACTCCTATTCCGTGGAACCTTTATTAAACGGTCGACCCGTGCATGACCGCTAAATACAGGTTGGACTGTCTCAAGCTTACAGAGTCAAATGAATTTACAATAACTCTGGAAATGCTTATGAGTCTATGTAACATTTAATGTGATAAAAGCAAGGATTATGTACCATATGAACAGTAGGGAACAAGAAGGCGCATATAGAGGATATTCTAAAAAAACCAATGGTCTCAAATGTCTATTCGACCGATTAGGTATTATAACAGGTGCGATTTCTAGGCTTAATTGCGTCTCTACTTTTGTGAGTTGTCTGTAAAATAATTGCGCGGTTCTATGAGCTTGCCAGATGATAACAATTGCTCGGGATTTTCGGTAAGTATGGATTTTATGGGGTTTAGAAAACGAAATTTAATTTGTCTTATGCAGACCAAATGCATTGTAATTTGCGCCGATAGTTTAACACCAAGTATACAATACTTGCAAAAGTGGATGTTCACCACATAAACAATTGTGTCTCTCATGACATGCAAATTTTTTTTTGTATATTTTATTTTTCGTGGTTTCCTAGCAATCTCCGGAGAGAAAGGAAGGAAGGCCCTGCTGAGAGAGATCGAGTTATTAAAACTCTTTGGAAGGGAGGGCCATGAAAATGTTGTTAAGTTCATTGGTTGTGTTACAGTTGGAGGTAATCAGCTATTGTTATGATTATAATCAGCTAATTCACAGTAACGATAAAAACATATCTGACGTCAACCAGTATTGCTTAGATGGTGCACTAATTCAAGGGTTATTTCCAGTTTTTGTCTCATCTTAAGAAATTTACTTCGCACTGTATGTAGGCCATTTTACTTGGAAGATTTAATCTCTAAAATGTACATGCTAATTGTGATAATAGCTTTAACTTACGATGGCAAGTCTCTGTCTTTTTATCTGCCATCCCTATTTTTCTGTCTTTCTGTTTATCTGTCTGATCTGTTTTCTATGTGTGTTGTCTCTTTCAAAGTCCCGTTTTAAAATCAGATCAGATATACATTTCAAACACATTTTGGAACATATAACAATTTTCTTGTTTTTCCCTCTTAGCTTTTTTTCAGAAAATCGATTTTCATATCAAACTTTGACAACTATGACATTGCTGTTTGTTCGCACATGGATTTTTTCCAATACAATTGGCCTTTTGTTATCCATCCTTAGGGACTTTTCTATTTAGTATCACGAGCTTCATCGCGATCTTGCACTAACATCCTTCTTGATGAGCATCGTGTCTGCAAGTTGACTGACTTTTCTCTTATCAGGATTTCAAATACGGCCCAGGAAATGCCAAGGGTAATTTTCAAATTTTTTCATCATTCGGTCAATTTGTTTTGGGGCGCTGGTATGGAAGATAAAAATGTTTAAAATATTACTGTCCTCACAAACCTTTCTTTTCAGTTATACAGTACTGCAAAACATATTTCCCTTCAATGGGAAGCCGTTCTACAGGGAGTGAACACAGGAAATAAGAAAGCCGGAAGAGATATCGTTCTCTGAATAGCAAAGATACAAACTCGAAGGGCAAAGAAACACAGGAGATTTAAAGAAAAAGGAGTGTGTGAATTGTTTTCATAGAATTTGTACAAAGGTGTCTACTGCTCTTGACATTATCGTAAGTCCTCACATCACGGTTTTAATCTTATATGCAAAATATTTTAGAAGTTGTATACAAGGCTCTTTAGATTTCAGATGTTTATAGTATTTTGGTTACTCATCCAGGGATGTATCCCAATCAAATGGACTGCACCCGAGATTCTCTTTGGACATGTGGAACAACTGTCAACCAAAAGCGATGTGTACGTACTGTATTGGTTATTATCTACATATATTCCAAGAGTGAACATTTTTACGATTCTACCTTAACTTAGCGAGGAAAACTAGAATATTCAGTGCTCTATTGATTAGAGGGTCATTAGGAAACGTCAAGCTGGGAAACAGCTGAGGTTACAGCTGTAGTATGAGACTTTACATGAATATTAAGTTTAACGAGCAATATCCAAAATCTGATTAGGATAAGAACAGACGGATGAAAGGATGAGTGGATAATCAAACAAATAAATATGGCGTTTTCTGTTAAGGAGGTTGCTTATGTCTTGATGGCATGTTTTTAAACATCCCAAGTATCTGAGTGATTATAATCTTTCTACCCCAGTTGAGATATATCGTCATCCTTCTATTTCTTTGACAGGTGGTCCTACGGCATCGTCCTGTATGAAATCTTCACTGTCGGTACTTAACTTGTTTGTTACTTTACATTCAGGAAATATACCTGCCGAGATTGCACGCACAATTACTAATTGATGAGTGATACCGAGCGAACAAAAGAGCATTGTACGATAGAGAAGTTGAAGCAGTACTCAATGTCGCTGATAAATAAAATTATGACGATGCATAACAACTTGACATAAAACTTAAGTTTAAGTAGAACTGAAAGTATTTAGTACATTATTGAAAAACCTTAAATCCATCGCTACACTTAAATTTGTTTTTTTTACAGTACTCTTTCATCTGATGTAAAACCGAAATCTATTTCAGCAATTAATTGTCGTTTTCACAGAAGAATCATTTCGATCGCCCTGAGAGGAATGAAAGTGATTACAACAAAAAGAGTGTGCTTTTTTGGCGAACAGAAAAAAACATTATTTTTCCACAGGAGGCATTCCTTACGAAGGATGGTCTCAATCCACGACAATGAAAAAAATCGAAGAAGGTTATCGTCTGCCAAAGCCTGAACATATCGACGACAGTTTGTAAGTGTTGCTTCCTCTGTGTGGAATGTTATATAAGTCAAAAGCAATATCGATTGCTGCTGTGGTCAGGTGTTTTTGATACTCTTGGTCTGAATAAGTAGTCTTCCTAAGAAATTAATTTTATCTTGTCAATACAAAAATTTAAATGAAAAGTTGTTGAGTCAAATAAAGAATACGGTGGGTTTTTCATCACAGAATTCGTTTGAGCTGCAATGTAATGAGATAAACTTAGCATTTCAGTTATTTTTGTAACTAGTTGTGGTTTCTCAACTTTGCTACTTGCAATATTAGTGCCTATCGCGGAATTACTGTGATCATATGTCCCTGTGTTTTTCTATAGATACGCGGTGATGTTAAACTGCTGGAAATACGAAAGCGCCAGCCGGCCACACTTTGTGAAGCTCTACCAAACAATGGATACATATATTAAAACAAAGGTTTGCCATACAGCGTCTAATTCAGGATATACTTCAGCAATTGAAATTGGTATCCTACCAAGTCAATTGCGAATTTCTTTTCACGTCAATGTGATGTCAAAACGCATTAACTACCCAGCCGCTAACAATTTGTGAATTCAGTTTCATCATGAACCAATGTTACTTTTAAACATATGCAAGTGTGGTTACGTCATGTCAGTCTGGATCATCCTTATTTTCCCTCTGTTGTCTACACACAAGAAAGAACGGAACAGATCTTAAAATTACACTTTTGGAAAACTTTGACAGAAAGGAAGACCTTACCTGACTTTTATTCTTATCAATTCATGCAAGTACTAATGGTTCTTGTCTTTGTGATTGATATCTGATCTGCTCTTTTTTTTCTTTTTAGTGACTCATTTTTGGAATTTCTTTGTTGAATTTTTGAAATTCATTCGTTCAAGATTTTTTAACTCATGCAGTTCCTGATTACCTTCTAATCTTTTTCATAGACATATGTAGATATCTTTGACGATGACAAGTATGATCAGGATAAGTACAACTTTGTCGATGACCGTGGAGCTGTTGCAAACCCAGAAGATGCAGGACCGGACGAGCTAGGAGCAGCTGCAGCAAATCCCATCGGTGAAGTGGGTGAACACGGTGCTACGGCACATCCCTTTCTGGTTGCAATGGACGATGATGCTACAGCTTTCCCTCTTGGAATTAACGTAGGAGACGAAGGAGCACCTGCAACAGATCCCGACCGTGAAGTGGGTGAACACGGTGCTACGGCACATCCCTTTGTGATTGCAATAGACGATGGTGCTCAAGCTTTCCCTTTCGCTATTAACGTACCAGAGAAAGGGGCAGCTGCAGCAAATCTCGCCCATGATGTGGGTAAGCACGGTGCTGCTGCACATTCCTTTGTGGTTGCAATTGACGATGGTGCTACAGCTTTCCCCTTCGCTATTAACTTACAAGACAAAGGGGCAGCTGCAGCAAATCTCGCCCATGAAGTGGGTAAGCACGGTGCTACTGCACATCCCTTTGTGGTTGCAATTGACGATGGTGCTACAGCTTTCCCCTTCGCTATTAACTTACAAGACAAAGGGGCAGCTGCAGGAAATCTCGCCCGTGAAGTGGGTAAGCACGGTGCTACGGCACATCCCTCTATGGTTGGAATTGACGATGGTGCTACAGCTTTCCCTCTCGGAATCAAAGTAGAAGAAGAAGGTTGCGCAGCATACCCTTTTGAGAGTGATAAGAAAGATATGGATGCCCAAGCGTACCCTTTGGAGAGTGATACTTTACCATACCTTAGCGAGAACGAGGAAGAAGATGTTGATGACTCCGAGTGCCCTCTTGCGATTGAGGAAGAAGAAATTGATGACTACGAGTGCCCTCTTGCGATTGAGGAAGAAGAAATTGATCCTTTACCATCCTCCCTGGTGATGGACGAAGACGGTCTAGCTGCTTCAGCATGTCCCCTTGTGACTGACGAAGAAAATTCTGATTCTTTAGCATGCCCCCTTGTGGTTGAGGAAGAAGATTCCAATAACTCAGCATGCTCCCCTGTACCTGGGGAAGAAGATTTGGAAGCCACAGAATGCCTTTCTGTTACTGAAAAAGAAGATCCTACCTCTTTCGCACGCTCCGCAAATGAGGTGAACAAACCCGATGCCTCACCATTCCCTTGTGTGATCGAAGAAGAAGATCTTGATTCTTTAGAATACAATCCTCTGATCGAAAAAGAAGGCCTCAGTGATTCCGTCTTCCCTCCAGAAATTCAAACTGATGACGAAGAAGGTGTAACAAGTGAACCTGAAAATACCGTTGGTTATGAAGGTGCTGTAGCAGTTCAATCTGAAAAGGAGGCAGTAGAAGAAGAACCTAAGACTTGCCAACTAGAGTACACGAAGGATGAACAAGACGATCTTGGAAACTATATGGACGACCAAAGTGATGCTGTAGACCTTTTTGACGGAGACGCTGGCGTACAAGAGTATGATGGTAATCAACTTACTGCTGCGGATATAGACGAAACTGGAAGTGACGAAGACGAGGAGTCATCTGAAGCAACTCCTCTTGTGCAGGACTGAGGCTTAATAGCAGAATTGCTGAACCTCTAAGGTTGTAGTCTTATAACACTCTGTGGTAATTTGTAGTTTAGATTTCGAGAATTTCAGCCTCAATATTTCATAGTTTTTGATTTTAAGACGTAGGTTTTATCGTACTTTTACTTTAGTAATGCTTTGGTAGTGATGATAACCATTTTCATAGTTTATAAATGGAGGTTAAGTGGAATTTTCTTGAAAGAAAACTTGTTTATTTACTTCACTTTTGCATTTCTTAGTTTACCGTTTATTCACTTGGTGCACTTGTCAGTGCTTTGTTGATGTTATTGACTGTAGGCTGATAGAGACAAAAAAAAAAAAAAAAAAAAGAAATTGCTGTTAAGATAATTTTTATAACTGATCAAGTCAGAAATGCTGCGTAAGTTTGTGAGTGTTGTTCCTAGTATAAGTAATATTTCCCAATCTAATTAAGAATAATTTACTCGTTGTAAAGCACTCCCTAAATGCGTCAATAAACTTAAGCTAAACTCGTTTCGTTTACTCCATTCATTGCAGCAAAATTGCTGGTCTGGATCTAACTGTAGATTTGAAGGACACCATAAACTAAAATGACATCTGGCCTCCTTCAAAGAGTAAGATTGACGAAAATCCAGTAGCGCTGCGTTAGTTCTGATTAGTGTATATATTTTTCTATTCCCAGCTTACGCTCGCTTAGCAACCAGAAGTAGCATATTTTCAAAACATTATTAACCCAATACGTTTTATCCTTTTTGTAGACAGCTACTGACTCACCGGCCTTTTCAATCGAGTTCTCTATTCCAATTTGTTGATAACATAAGCGGTATTAAGCTGATTAGTCTTGAATGTTGTTATTTCACATCACTGCTTCTAATCATTGTCTGAGAAAAGTGTTTTCGAAGTTTGAAACATAAATGACCCATTGTGACGATTCTTTGTGCAGAAGTTGGCCTAAGGCAGATATTCCAAGTCCCAAGGAAGCATGATTTTTTACTTTTTATCTCCACAGTTTCAGGCATTTTGGTGTCATGGGATATTGTGTTTGAATATTGTTGATACTAATCGTGCCTTCCTGGTGCACTACGTCAGCAAATATGTCGAGTTCAATCAAGCAAAAGATGGCGTTTTCGAGAAACACATTGCCTAATCCATTGCTTCAACTTTCATCGTGAGAAGTACTGTGCTATGATTTTTAGAGAAATAGGCAACGGTAGTTATTTTCTTACTGTCCGTTATTGTGTTTCTTGACATGAGCAAGGCCTTTGACAAAATAAACGAGGGCATTTTGGCGTGGCTTAGTTCATCATTAATCCATCTGATAGAAAACAAGTAGCGCTCATAAATTCTGAGTCCCTGACTCTCTGGTCTTTGAATCCAGAGTGCCACAAGCGTTTGTTCCATGACTTATTTTGTTCAGAATTTATGTAAATGACTTTTCATATGCCCCTCAGTCTTGTTTTACTGAATATTATTGGATGATACTAAACTTCAGATTTCTCTCCCAGTTCAAGGCTGGGCTAAGACAACAATTTTTTCTGAGACAGGGAGTGTCCTTTAAATGAAAGTGAAACAAAACCACGATCGTCGATCAAAAGATCGGTGGGGACTCTGATGTCGATCTCAAAAATTTTGGTTTTTGCCTTTTTTTCAGTATTTATCTATTTGACTGTTCAATATGCTTATAAGGAAGTATTTATCGTTTAGATAGGGTTTTGAAATTTCTGCACACGAAATTAAATTTAAAAAACTTTTTTTTATTTCGGAATCTCCCGAAAGTTTGACATATTTCGATCCATATATAGATATAAAGAAACCAAAAGTAGTCACTAAAACGTTACTCCGCACATCCTTCTCCATTCACCTCCAGGGGATTTGCGCCCAAAAATGTTGTGATTATTACAGGAATAAATTATTCAAAATCATCTTTTTGTATTATTTTATCTCACAGTATTAAATTATATACAAAAACAAATATTCATCTATGTGCCGGTGGCTAGGGGTAGATAGTTATATCTCCGCTTGGCAGCTTGGCAAATGTCCACCACTAGTTAACTCTACCTTGGTGAAGAGTTAAGAAATAATCATTTGATAAACTTTCAATAGGGCGATTGGCATCGCAACTTATCGTAATAATGCAAACATTTCCGAGAAGACAATATTGGAAAATGGATCATTTTTCTATCCATATCTTGTAAAATTAATGTCAATGAAGGAAATATAAATAAACTTGAAAGGTATCAGACATAGTTTGAAGCTACACTGGTTTGCAGATTTAATGAAAGTAACCGAAGAAGTTACAGTTCATAGACCCAACGTTTCGACACAACAATCACTAAAGTGTGTCAACAATCCTTTTATATGATTAATTACGGCCTTTTTTCTGACGAGGTGTAAATAGGCGTCAAAATCAAGCAAACAAAGGCGCTGGTGGTAACGACATATTAGTGGTGATACCAAAAAATTATCCCTAATTGTATGGTTGGTTAGGCAAGATGCTCCGATAAAGTATTTTCCTTTTTGCAAAGAAAAACCGCTTTTTGGTGCTCTTTTAAAAACTGGCGTTTGGTCTGTCCGATGTATTCATTATCACAATCATTGCAAGGAATAGAATAAATGGCGTCGGTTCGTTGTTCTTTCGTGACAGGATCCTTAGGTTTGGCGAAGAAATGCCCCAAAGTCTGAAAAGGTTTTTGAGCAACTTTAACGTTGTGGCTATTCAAAATTCTCTTGATGGGTTCAGTAACACCCTGTATGTAAGGAATAACAGCAAAACCAGTCGCTGGTT